TCCACTTGAACGTGCGCACATCCCCACATGTGAGACAGCTAATAAGTGGAAACACCTAGCAGTCATAGCCCCCGAGATGCCCCCGCTAATGGATTGTGGAGTGGGACTTTTGATTGGTTCCGACTGCTCCAGAGCCCTGGCACCACGAGAGGTCTTCACTGGAGGTGACTATGAGCCTTACGCTATAAAGACGGACTTAGGGTGGAGCATCGTAGGGAGCTCACCACAGCGCGTGAACTCCAGGGATGTGACTGGGCTGTGCCATCGGATAACTGTCAGGGAGGTTCCACTTGTGACAACAGCTGCTGCTATTAAAGCCCTCGAATCTGATTTTGCAGACACCAGATCAGGAGAGAAAAGCATATCTCAAGAAGATATTCAATTTCTGCAGGTCTTAAAGGAAGGAATCCAGCAGAACGAGTGCGGCCATCTTGAGATGCCCCTTCCATTCAAAGCACGTCCTCACCTTCCTGATAATAAGAAGCTTGCCTTAATCCGCCTGAAGCACCTTAAAAAGAAACTGGACAGAGATCCCAAATTTAAGAATGATTATGTGAGATTCATGGAAGGTGTCTTCAAGGATGGGGAAGCAGAGGAAGCGGACAAGCAACCGGAGTCAGGAAGTGTGTGGTACATCCCACACCAAGGCGTCTATCACCCGAGGAAGCCAGATAAGATCAGGGTAGTTTTCGACTGCTCTGCAAAGTATGAAGGCACTGCCTTAAACGACCATCTGCTGACAGGACCTGATCTTACAAATGGGCTGATTGGAGTGCTCTGCCGTTTCCGCAAACATCCCATTGCCGTCATGTGTGATGTGGAAAAAATGTTCCACAGGTTCCAAGTCAGCAAAGAAGATAGAAATTATCTGCGCTTTCTGTGGTGGGAAAATGGGGATACAGAGTCAGAGCCCAGGGAATACCATATGAAGGTCCATCTTTTCGGAGCATCTTCATCTCCAGGCTGTGCCAATTACGGCATGAAGCATATTGCCAGCCAAAATGAGAAAAGGTACCCTGAAGCAGCTAGCTTCATCAGAAAGCACTTTTATGTGGATGACGGCCTCATAAGCCTAGAGTCAGTCGATGGGGCAATCAAGCTGGTGAAAGAAACCCAAGCACTGTGTGCTGAAGGAAAGTTGCACCTTCATAAATTCATCTCCAACAGTCGAGAGGTATTAGAGTCCATTTGTGTTACCGAACGTGCTGCTGAGGTGAAGAATGTGGATCTCAACTGTGATGATCTTCCAGTCCAGAGAGTGCTAGGAGTCAGATGGAATGTCGAAGGTGACGTCTTCTCCTTCAAGGTCTCACTTGATGAGAAACCAGCTACACGACGTGGAGTCCTCTCAGTCGTGGCTTCGGTGTATGATCCAATTAGGATTTTTGGCCCCATTCATCCTACCAGGAAAGCGGGTGCTACAACAGATGTGTCAGAAAGGCATCAGTTGGGATGAGCCACTCCCCAGCGAATTGAAGCCGAAGTGGGAGAGCTGGATCAACGATCTAAGAAATCTTGACAAGATTCAGATCCCAAGATGCTTCACACCAGAGAACTTTGGAAAGGTCCTAAGAGTGGAACTGCATCACTTTTCAGATGCCAGCAGTCAAGGCTATGGTCAGTGCTCATACATCAGATCGGTGGGCGAAGATAAGGTGCATTGCACCTTGGTTATGGGCAAGGCAAGAGTTGCTCCTACCAAAATAGTCACTATACCAAGACTAGAGTTGACTGCTGCAGTAATCTCTGCTGCTATGAGCAGTATGCTAAAGGAGGAGCTAGAGATCAAGATCGACAGAGAATATTTCTGGACCGACTCACAAGTAGTTATTGGTTATATAAACAACGAAGCCAGAAGGTTTCATGTCTTCGTGGCAAACCGTGTCCAGAGAATCCGGGAAACCACTGACCCAGGGCAGTGGTTCTATGTCGACACAGAGCACAACCCTGCTGATCACGCCTCAAGGGGCCTCAAAGTAGCGGAGCTGCTCAAGTCTAACTGGCTCACTGGACCCAAGTTCCTGTGGGAGAGAGAGGTAGTTACAGCCCAAGGAACCTCAGAGCTACTGGTAGGAGACCCCGAAGTAAGGGCAATCCAAGTCTTGAAAACTGATGCTTCAAGGCAGGTCGATTTTCAAGAGAGACTCGCAAGGTTCTCAAAATGGTCCACAGCGGTAAAAGTCGTCGCTCGGATACAACGGTTGGCCAAGAGGATCAAGGACACAGAGCCCCTTAATGTTGAGGAAAGAAGGAGAGCCTCTCACACCCTCATCAAGCTTGCACAGAAAGATGCCTTTGAAAAGGAGTTACACATTCTCCAGACATCGGGAAAGCTGCCTTGTAACCACCAACTGTATCAGCTAGACCCATTCCTCCAAGATGGTATAATGAGGGTGGGAGGACGTCTGAGGAGAGCATCCGCACCTCTGGATCTGAGACACCCTATAATCCTCCCAAAGGATGGTGTTGTCACGCGCCTTGTCCTCGCGCACCACCATGAGAAAACACAACATCAGGGCAGAGGACAAACGTTGAATGAACTCAGGGCCAATGGTTACTGGATTATTGGTGGCAGTAAGGCAGCAGCCCAGCACATAAAGCAGTGTGTCCTGTGTAGAAGAGCCCGCGCACCTCCAGAGGAACAACGGATGGCAGACTTACCCAGAGACCGTATTGACCCCTCCCCACCGTTCACGTACTGCGGTATGGACTGTTTTGGTCCCTTCTGTACCAAGCAAGGTCGTAAGGAAAACAAACGGTACGGCCTCCTTTTCACATGTCTGAGCTCCAGAGCAGTCCACATAGAGATGTTGGATGACATGACGACCGATGCATTCATCAATGCTTTACGGTGTTTCCTAGCCATCCGTGGGGCCGTCAGGCATATCAGATCAGATCAAGGATCAAACTTTGTTGGAGCACGAAATGAAATGGAAAGAGCTCTCAAAGAAGTAGATAAAGAAAGAGTGGCCACATACCTGGCAGATAAACAGTGCGACTTCTGCATGAATGCACCAGCCTCAAGTCATGCCGGAGGTGCATGGGAGCGGCAGATCAGAACAGTAAGGAGTGTGCTTGGCTCAGTCCTTGCTCACAGTGCTGGAAGATTGGACGACACTTCCTTAAGAACCTTCTTTTATGAAGCCATGTGCATTGTAAACAACCGCCCCCTTACTGTTGACAGTATCAGTGATCCAACCAGTATGGAGCCATTAACACCCAATCATTTGCTTACAATGAAGTCCTCTGTTCCTCTGCCCCCACCTGGTAACTTTGCTAAGGAAGACTTGTATGCCAAAAAACGTTGGAGAAGGGTGCAATATCTGTCCGAGCAATTTTGGAACAGGTGGAGGAAAGAATATCTTGCCAACATCACTCTCAGACAACGATGGCATGCACCAAGGCGCAATGTGCAAGTCGGAGATATTGTCATTGTAAAGGAAGAAGAGCTCCCTCGTAATGAATGGAAACTTGCCAGGGTTCTTAAAATACATGAGAATGATGATGGACTGGTGCGAAGAGTTACAATACAGATTGGAGAGCGCAAGTTAGGAAAAGGGGGTGAACGCCTCAACAAGCCATCCATCGTTGAGCGACCCATTCAGAAGTTAGTTGTTCTCGTAGGAAGCAGCTAAAATTCTGCTTCTTAATTTTGGTGCAGTTAGTCACTGACCTCAATTCAAATTCAAATTTGAAACAATTCACAAATCCTTTGTGTTATAGGAAGATTGTTTTCTTGAACCTTTGCGTAGTGAGAAAAGTGTTCTCAATTGATATTGTTACATTTAACTTTCATGTGGTGTATTCTGCATATCAACTTTATCTGGAGAGTTTATAACTGTTGATCTACCATTTCATTCAGGTTCAGATGTTTATGAGTGACCTTAACGAATGCTTTGAAATAACCATTGATTTAATAGTTTTAATATGCATACAAAACACCAAGGTTGTATGATTTGTTATTAATTAAAGGTCATTTGGTGGGAGTGTAGCTGACGCTGAGTCCAGTGTAGACGTGTTTCCATGACTACATCGGAAGTTGTTCATGCGCAACCTTGTAAGACGATAAAGTCATTTTGTAATGCAATTTATAATGTGTCTTGTTTATAGTAATTCTGAGTAATAGTGTGACTTAAAGCTGTTTTTTACCTTGCTCTTGTTAAATTTATGACGAAGAGAAAAGTTGTTTATTAATAGTCACATGTTTAACCCCGGAAGTATTGAGAGTAGCGCGTGTGAGAAGAGAGAGTCGCGGGTGAAAACAGCGAACTTTTAAGCTCCCGTCTATTATTCTACAGCTGGTCTACCAGGCGAACACGGTAATAATTACGAGCTATCTTATTAAGCACTGTTAAATTTTGATTACAAGAAAATGTAAGACGCATTGTATTGGTCTGTATAAGAAATAAGAGTATATGAATGTTGCTTTGGGTGCTTTGTGCTTGAAACTGTTTTGTTTATCTTCTAGTTTTCACGGTGTTTCATGATACTTCAGAGAAGAATAAATGTGATTGTGAACATCAGTATGAAGCGTGGACTCATTTATGACCAGTGTAGTTACATTACCTCCCAGCAGAACTGCAGATTACTAGAAGTCACCGGATAAATAAAAACTCAGTGCAAAATGTTCCAATCTGACCCGTAATTCTGCCTGAATCATGATCATACACTGTTTGCTGGACAGTGGCGAACTGGCCCTCAACTGAGTCTGGTTTATCCTAAAGTTCTCCATTCTGTCACCTGATGGAGTTTGTTCCCAAATTACCAGTCACCTTTGGTGAGAACTGAACAATGACAGTTTCCTCCAGAGCAGCTATTATAGAAATAAAAAAAATAAAAAAAAGCCATAACTGAACTTAAGCTGGACTATGATGCCTCTTTTCTAGAAACCATTTGTAGCATTATTTCTGTTATCACTGTAGAGCTGCTTCCAGACTTCCAGCTTCAAACAAACTTTAATCCACAGAAACATGCAACACATCACTGATAGCAAAAAAGGTTTTATTTGATTCATGTTTGTAGCCAGTTTTGTACTACTGCACAATCATGGACAAGGGGATGTATATGTGGTCTCAAACTGATCACCTGAAAAAAAAAAAAAATAATTAGACCGCACATACAGGCAATTCAGCCAAACGCATTAGTCAATGAAAGCTTACTTGTCTGATAGTAGTCATAAACATTGATAACTGCTGGCTTGAGATTTTTGACTGCAAGAACCCGTTTTAGCCGTAGTGTGTAAGTTATGGGGAAGCTTTTGAGAACCTGCAATACAGAAGAGATGAAGAGCACAGATGCACATACACGAAGGTGGCAGCTAGTAATGTACCCAGTGTAGTCTCACCTCTTTCAGATACACTAGGACATGATCATCTTCAGCATCAACCCGCTCCACTAGCGGAGCAAACGATTTGGGTGGAGAACCAAGCTGAGAAGAAAAGACCATCATTTACAGATAATTACATCTGAAGGAGCTTCAAGCATCTTACAAGTCATCTTAAACCAATACAAACCGGTGACGTATCTGCTGTGAAGCCCGACAGGAGCTTTATGTCCACGATAACCATGTTAGTACTTGCTTGTGCACCATTGTATCTGAATGGGAATAAAGAGGTTTAGACAACGGGAACAAGCAGCTTTCAGGGCATTAAAACTATAAACAGGAGCTGATTAAGAAAGTCAAAGATGTTCTTACTTCACTGTGAAGTTCAACATAAGATTAGCCCCAAGCGGTCTGCAGTCTCCAGTCACCTTCGCTTCGACACTCAGCGTTCTGGAGACTTTAATAGGTGTCGGGATGTTGTAGAAACACGCAGTCTATGAGAGGTAAAACAGAATTAGTATGTGCACAAAACAAACAGAAATGGAGAGGATGAAGATACAGACCTGCACAGACACACAAGCGGATCCTGACGCTTTAATACTATATTTGCCAGGAACATTCTTCAGCGGCTTCTCCTGATACAGCAGCCTGTTGTCCCGACTCACATTGAAGCTATAAGAGTCTCCGCCTACTACTGAGGACTGTACGGTACTGGACCCAGCCAAACTGAACACTTGAGCAGCATACACAGACAGGGCATGAAGAGCCACCACAGTGTCCTAAAACAAGCAAATTATTAAAAACTCCACTCAGATATGGTTGATTGTGCTCATGTTTAGTAGTCAGAGGCACCTGGGTGGAGGAAAAGCCTCCATAGGGATTCTGCTGGGTCACCAGCCAGTTGACAATGCGGTTAGCATAGCTCAGAGAAGCCGTTGTGAGGGGCTTAACTTTGAGAACCGCTAGCAGCACGTAAGAGGTGATCTCCACCGCCACAGTATCACCAGATGTAGTCTGAGACCAATGGAGTTTAGTGCCTTAGGATGAGATGGAGGGGATAAAGTTGATGCCAAATAACCTGATGATAATCTCAAACAAGAGGCTGGTAAATTTCACCTTCAGAAATGGCTAGATTCTTCAAGGTGGTTAGAAGCTGTGATCGAGTGGTGGTCTCTTCAGCCAGACTGAAGGTGTAGGCCAGAAGAGCCGTTGTGTAAGTGTTTCCCACGTTCCCAACAACACGCCTCAAGCAAGACAGAGCGTTGGTAATGACGGGATCCTGAAAATCAAAGCAAGTGTCAGACTAAAGCCAGAACAGGAAGGTCATCTGTAAGGAGCTCATACAACTACTGAAGTTTACCGTGGAGGGGACGCCCATCTCAAGCAGTGATGCAGTGATGTAGGCGGTCATGGTAATGTTATCATCAACTCCACCCTAAAACACCAGTATATGGATTAAGAATTGTCCAATCCCTTGGAATACATTATGGTGCATTTGATGAAATATGCGATCACCTTCAGTTCATAGTGGTACAGAGTTCCCTGCTGCATGAAACAGCCGTCCGAAACCTGCTGGCTGATCAACCAATCCTTTGCACTCTGAAGGACATTCGGATCTATGAAGACGAAGCCCCTCGCTAGCCCAAAAGATCTCATGACAAAGGCAGTCAACCTGGCCATGGGGGAAGTTTCATGACAAGCTAAAAACACAAACAGCTGACTAAAGTCTAGAACCAGCATGAAACTCACCATGTATTCGATTCATCATAACCAAATGTGCTGTATGATCCATCACTGTGCCTGTAGTTTAGTTGTCCTTGGTATCCTGTTCAGGTCAAAATCCACAAGAACTTAGTCTGACGCTCCCAAAGGACGTTCAGTTCTTTTCCCGTTGAACTAGTCTAACAAGTAAAAGATTGTTGTCCAAACCTCTTTGAATGTAGCCTGTGGCCGTCTCTCGGATGGCTGCGGTGAGTTGCCTCGTGCCTTCCAGGTACTGCAGTATGTAAATATTTGGAGCAAGAACACCCATATTCTGTTCTCCACAGCCATATGGCATCCTTAATAACCCATCTAGATTATTCAGTGAACGACCCATTATGTCTCCTATGAGAGGAATAGAAACAAGGGGTCAAGCCATATGTGATTCTGAACGTCACTGCTGGTTTCTCCAAAATTGAACTGCTTTACCTAGGACTGAAACTGAGCATTTGGCTGATCCCTGGATCACATTTGCAGGAAACGTCAGAGTCACATCTTCAGAAAGGAGATTTCCTGCGGTCCAAAAAAACCAGGTCAGCACAGAGCGCTAGGCTAATGTTTGGCTGTAGGCTAAGGGGGATATGTTTGAGAATCATTGAGTGCAAACAAACCCTTTGGACACAGTAACCAACTCTGGGTGTTTGTCCTTTCAACTCCTTCAGGCTATAAAAGCAGTAAAACACCACATGAGTAAAGCAGCATGAGCTCAATGATCAAACTCCAGAAGGCTGGTTAACACTTACCAGGACAAGTAGACTTCGAGTGACTACGTCAATGCGTCCTCTCGTTGGCACAGTCACGACCTCAGTGCCACATCGATTCTGGGATGGTTCAGCTGAAGCATTGACAGTCACATTAACAGCTCCTGCAGTGACAGACAAGTGGTGATGAATCATTTTTAAATTGCTATTAGGATGAATAACTAGTGGGTTTGTGTAATAGAGAAGTGACAATCACAATTCTCTTTATTTGACACTCGCAGTTTCTGAATTGATAAGCCTCCACAAGCTTTCATGTTGCGGTTACCAGGCATCAAGAGTTTAAAACACCCCATCTGAGCTTTTCACTTAAATGGATACATTTTCTGCCCAGCGTTTTATCTTACCAATCTGCATTGAGAAAATGCTGATCTGAAAAACCTGGTAAATATGCACACTGGCGTTCAACGATATCCATTGTGATATTCTGCTCTAATGAAATACAGCAGGTTTGTGTTGTGTTTTCATGTGGCCACTTGTGCTGTTTGCTGTGACTAAATCTGTGATCAAACCTTCTCAGCAAAAAAACTTGACTATCGTTTGCAATTGTTAAATGGATGCAACGTGGAGTTAATTTATGGCTGATAATTTAATGACTAAATATAAAGCAGGAAACTAGATTAAATAAACCATGTTTATGAATGGATGTTCTCTTGATTTGTGCTTAAATTAAAGTGCTATGATTCAGATGAAACCTTTTTAAAAAAGATATATTTTTAAATGAATTAACTATTGTGCATCCCTATGGTGAGTAACACCGCAAACTTCAATTGAGAGAGAAACTCAAACTGACCAAGGAGAGAAGCTGTGAAACCCCATTTAAGGGTTATTCTCCCTTTGGCACAAAGACAGGATGAATACAGATCATTCAATGGTTTCAGAGTGAAGCCCGAGGATTGAGCTGGAGTCACTCGAACCTGCCAATGAAACAGAACACATGGAGCAAAGACACAACACCTTCTATATACAGATCCATTATATAAAGAAACCATGACAGACCATGATGCACTCGGGCAGATAGCTGAAGACCGTGGCCTTGAGCTCAAAAGACTCGCCCCGGACGATGGAGTACGGCAGCGAGAGCTCCAGGAAGAAGGGCTGGAAGACCGTCAGCAGAGCAGGAGCAGCAACACCGAAACCTTTGGAAGACAGGCAGAACGCCTCCGTCTCCCATGTGGTGATTGTGTCAGGAACCTTGAGGGGAACTTGTGTGGATCCAGTGTCTCTGAAGAAGGGATAGCAGAAAGTAGAAGCAAGGGGGACAGCAGTAAAAACTGGGCAAGTAGCTTTAGCAACAAAAGAGGTTTTACTAACCCCACTTGAGCAAGCTGCCAGATCCAGGTTTCTGGAAAGTAAACCCTGACGGTCACATCATTGGTGGAGCTGCTCCCACTTTGTGGTGCTGATACAGCAAGGGATGCCATAAAGGGCCGCGATTCAAAGAAGGCTGAAATAAGACAACATTAAGACTAGAAGTGCCTGCTTTTTGAATGCATTCAAGTTCTGAAGGTACAAAAGATCAGTCCCTCTTATTGCATTTAAAGGTGAAGTGTGATTTTTAGTGGGATCTAGTTGTCATCGTCTGAGACAGCAGAGAGTAGCCAGTTAAGCAATGTTTCTTTACAAATATAAATTAGGTTTAATTATTCAGTAAAACAATGTCATTGCGAATGATATTGTTACTGGTTCTTCATGGTGTCGGTTTTATTCACTTTTTTAGCTTGCTTTGCACGAAGAACAGTGACAACGCATTTGTCCGTTTAGGGCCACTGTAGAAACATGTCGGCGCAAAATGGCCATTTCAATGTAAGGGGACCCGTTGTGCATGTAGATGAAATGGCTCATTCTAAGGTAATTAAAACATAACGGCTCATGTAAGGTCTTTATACACAACTGAACATCGTTATGTATATGATATTGCATTTGTCAACAGATCCTCCCAAATATTACACAATGCACCTTTAAAAAAAAATATTGAGATCAAATGGAACCACCTTAGGTTCACCAAGTCATGGTTTTCATGAAAAGAACTGTATAACTGCATAGACCTACTTCTGGGGTAATTACGATAATAAACCAGGTCTTTGTACTTCAGACAATCAGGTTCTCGTACATTTAGATTTGTTGCGAGCTTCAACCCCACACTCTGCCAGAGAAACAAGACAAAACAAAGATGAAACTGAAAATCAAGGACCCTGTATTATTGACTACATGGTCATGAAGGATTTTCTACCTGGAAACCTGTATAGGCATGATCTGCAGGAACAGCTCGACGGGGTCGAAGTGTAAGACACTCCTGTTGATCCTCAACTTCGTATGGATAACCTGATTGCGACCGCACCGGGAGCAGGTTAAACACCTGGGTTCATGAAACAAGTCAACTTTATATAGCGCTTTTAAAATAGATTGTTTCAAAGGCAGCTTTACAGTGATAAACGCAACAAAGTTTGTTTCTAGAAGAGAATAGTGTCTGAGTCCAGCGATGTATAATTTTTTTATTTAATTTTTTTTAACTAGAAATGAACTGTTCTTAACGTCCAGTTCTATTCTCATACAATGGTGTCAATGCAAACAGATAGTTGAATATTGAGTGATACAATACAGGTGTTGGCATGACACACACATCTAGAAAATTGAACTAAATGCACTACCATTTGGTCTGTTGGTCACAAGCTTAAAAAAATAAAATAAAAGTATGCTTTAAATATAACAGCTACGTCCTAATAGTATGGATTTGTCCAATTGATCCATAAGGACACTCAAATCCTAAGGTTGAACCTGGATGTCAAATAAAATCCAACAGGAAAACTGAATTGCACATGGGTACCATTTCAGGACTCAGGCGTTGCGTCCCTGGCTTCAAGATCTGGACGCTCTGATCAACAGCGCTGAGGCCACACAGGGATCCCGCTTGAGCAGAGACGGTCAGAACGCTTTCCTCACCAGGAACCGCCTTAGCAGGAGAGAACTGTAGAGACACCTGGAACAAGGACCAACACACTGGAAGACAGGTCATCGTTCCCCACTTAAAGCCAAAAGATGCTAGTGCACATCATACCTTGTTTTGAAAACACATTTCAGTTTCAAACACCGCTGTACCAACAACTACGCTGTCACTGGGCAGAACACAGTAGACCAGAATCTGCACTACCGGAGCCATATCAACACCGATAGACAGTTGGAACGACACGGAGCCAGTCGTGACGGTATTAGAAGCCCTCACGGTGACCGTCTGAAGGCCATGGAGGACGATCACTCCTCTGGACAAGACCTGACAAAAGATACACCAGTGCATAAAATGTGCCAGACACACAGATCAGTGCAATCAAAACAAATATTTGTAGTCACCATATAGATGATGTCAGTGTTGTAGTTGCCAGTTTCTCCAATGAAAGAATACTTGATGGTCACTGGAAACGCAGCACCACATTTGAGCGGCTGCTCAAGCTTCACTATAGTCAGTTCACTGAATTTTTGGCTGTCAGGAGCAGAAGGTTGGAGAAGCTGAACAACCCTCCTATCTGTGCTGAAGTATGGGGATTTAAAACCATCATAACTTGCTGGAGTTGCGCTTGCCTAGAGAACAACAAATGCAATTGTAGTCTTGCGAGAGAAGTCATAATTTAATAAGAGAAAGCGAAAAATCGTACCACCAGATTTAGATCGGCCTTGGGAAGTTTAGCAGTGTTGAGGGAGAATGTGGCCAGTCCGTTCTGGTTAGTGGTTAGATTCAGCAGCAGCTCATCAGGCCAACTGTTACCATTCAGGAGATACACGGCTTTGTTTGCAATTGGAGTCCCGTTGAAAAAAGATGCCAAGACCTGTTGAAAAAGACAAGGTTAGGAAAGGGAACCAATGAAGGCTTCTGTAACGTCATGAACTTTTACTTGCCTTTCCAGCAATCATTGATCCAGATCTAAAAGACTCTGGGAGCTCCACAAATTTGATATTCCCAACTTCATACGTAATGGACACAGTTGTGGATTTGGATACAACTAAGTCTGGGAAGAAAAAGCACAAACAAGAATACACCAAATAAACATGTAGACATGCGTCACTGGTTTAAACCAGCCAATAACTCACCCGTTCCCTCCTCAGTGATATTCAAGTTAACAAGAAACAAATCTTCCAGGTTTCTCTCAAATTTGGTGTTGAAAAACACAGATGTACTGAAGGTAAGGGAGGCACAGCCTGTGGCATTCATCTGGTTTCAGAACAAAGATAGTCAGTAAACAGTCAAGCACAAGCAGAAGAAAATCCTTGCTCTGTATGGCAGGAGTCACACCTTAACCGTTTTATTCAGGCACAGACGAGTCAGGCCAGGAACCTCAGAGAACCGATATGGCTCACGGCATACTTCCACCAATGCTTGACCAGGTACAGGTTGCCCATATGTATATCTGGGGAAAATATGTAACAAGGAATGAGGTCAAGACCCATCCACCCACAATACAGGAATAGAAGAATCACTCACTTGGCACAAGCCTCAACTTTCAGTCCCACAAATCCAACGCTGTACGTCTGTGGTGTTTTTACAGCCACGTCAAACTTGGGTAAAACTACACCAGAAACAAACTGCTTAATGAGGACCTCAGCTCTGCTGTTGTACTTTTGCACTCAAACATTGACTTACCGTATTTTTTCACCTCAAAATCCTGGGAGATTGTTCTGTCACCAATAAAAGCCTTTAGTGTGTACATGCCTATCTGAGCCTCTGGGTTTAACTCGTGAGAAAGCTGCAATATCCAACCCGTTGAGGAAACGTTTGTCCACTGACCAATCCGGTTATTTTGATTGTTCTATTGAAAAAAATAAAAAAACTCAGAAAAAGAAACCGCTTTATTTCTGCAGGTTTTCAGACATAAAAAGACTAGCACCAGAGCACTAACTCACCTCCACCACCACAAGACTGTACTGTAAAGACACAAATATAAGACATTTAAAGTTACATAAATGCTGATTTTAACAACCTGCATTTAACTTGTATGCCATTGAAATCAATGGATATGACAGATACAGACATACCATTTGATCAAGGGGCACAAATTTGGCATTCATGGTCACAACTCTGAAATTCACTGCAAAAGGGAAAACCGATAAGAACTTGCATCCATTACATGCACTTGAACATGAAGAAAGTCCATTACACTACAAGTTCTGATAACTTCTAAGATTCAAACAAGGGTCATTCACAGCTCACCCATTTGTCCTGGATTGTAGATGGGTTTGTCTGTTTGGATAAAGGTCAAGGGTGGGTAAAATCCGAACATGATCTTCCTCTCTTCTGTCATTTTGAAGACCCTCCCTTGAACTTCCACCTTAAGCGTCTGCACAGATTCCAGATCTCCTAGAGGAGCCTGTAGAGAAGTGTTATTAAACAATAAACAGACAACAATACTGCATGTGCTGCACAATGACAGACCTTGAAACTAAAGCACCGGTGAAACTCTGTCAAAGAACTGTGCTGCACAAGTTGAGTTGTCCTATTTGTAGCATCAAGCAGAGAAACAGTCATCTTGAGACTCTCATTGGGCTTTAACAGACTCGCACACAGTTTGGCATCAGAACCGAACTCAATCACAGCAGGGAACGTCACCAAGAAGGCTCTGTGGAAACATCAGTGAGACGTTTAGTGTAGGAAATCAGATCTGAACATATAATCATGCAAGTGTATAAATAACAGAAGTAATGTTGTACTAGAGACTACAAACACAAGTCATTATGCTGAGAAATGCCAACGCAAGACCAATTCGTACAAGTGATTAAAGGGATACCCCATCACGTGGGTTTAGAGTAGACCAATCGCACAAAGCCACCTTTTAAAGCGATACTCCAGCCAAAAATGAAAATTCTGTCATTTACTCACCCTCATGTTGTTGCAAACCTGTATGAGTTTCTTTCTTCTGCTGAACACAAATGAAGAAAGATTGGAACCAAACAGTTCTTTGGCAGCATTGACTTCCATAGTAGAAAAAAAAAAATACTATGGAAGTCAATGGTGCCCCACAACTGTTTGGTTCCAATCGTTCTTCAAAATATCTTCATTTGGGTTCAGCAGAAGAAAGAAAATCATAAAGGTTTGCAACAACTTGAGGGTGAGTAAATAACAGAATTTTCATTTTTGGGTGGAGTATCACTTTAAAATGTGGCTTCGTACGATTGGTCTAAACCCACGTGATGGGTAGGTTTAGGGGCTGGTTCAGGGGTAGGTAATTCATACAAACGAATACAAATTTGGCAACTCGTAAAATATATACGAATTACCAAAAATCATACAAATTCGTATGAGTGGGGTCGAATTGGTACGAACTAACGTGAGGATTGGACATGCATTAACTTTGATGAATCAGGTTAAAACAGATAGAACACTTTCATTCACTTCAAAGCACATTTACTTACGGTCCTGATCTCTGTCCCTCAACACCAAAGAGGAAAAGGGCTAAAATGAGCCATTTCCAAACACAAATCTCCCTCACAGCCATGAAGAGCGATCATCCAACACTAAACGTGAAACAAGCGTATCCTTCCGAAACCCCACAGAACTTCTGTTGAGATCTAGCGCTGTTTACTACTCAACAGCTCCTGTCAATCTTCTGCACTGATTGCAGCGATATTTAAATGCTATTCATTGTCGTGAGGAATTCATTAAGCTCGTTAATTTCAATGATTAACCTAACCTGGAATTCATTTAGTCTGTTTATTACTCCATCTAGTAGCCTTTAAAACGTAACACATTATCTGAAATACTGCTGATAATACTTACAGATAATTTAAACAAAAGTTACACATGGGTCCATAGAGGACAACAATGTTCACGTCTAAAAACTGTCATATAAATGTGTCATATAAATTTGGTCTCCTTTTAAGAAGAAACTTGGCAGATAATTGTTGCAGTGAAAAAGTTTTAGAAGTGAAACAAAAAAAAAATGTTATAGAGGTTTAAGTTTATGAAATGGTTTATGAACATTATTTTATATAAAATATGAAACTGCTAGAAAATCAAAGCCAGAAATCTTAATAAGTTGCTCCAAATTTGAGGCTGACATCTATATATATAAAAAAAAAGGTTTTCAGTAAGATTTTGTTTGGACGCAGTACCACATTTTCCCCATCAGATGTCAGTAAAGCTCCACTGGTACACACAGTGGTTGGGTTTGTGATTTGCAGTTGAGTTTTTCTCTCTCAAATATTACAAGCAAACACACGCACACACATTTTTTTTATTACACACATACAAACCATACTCTGAGATTCATACCAACACACCCACTCAATTAAAGCTGAATAATTTATACATTTGGCTCTATAATATGCAAAAGCAGAAAACAGGAATACATTTTGTTTGTATGGATTGGATAGAGATCTATATTGGATAGAGTGCAGTTTCACTGCAACAGTAGTATATATATGTGTGCGCATGAGGCACCGGCACGATCAATTGGATTTAATAAAGATACAAAGAAAACTACAATGAGTTAAGAGTGTCACAAAAACGAGCGAAGCAGCCTATAGCCAACTACTATATAGTTTTTTTGTTAATCTGTTAATTTTTTAAGTGAAATATATTTAATTTAGTCCTATTTAATTAATTCATTTTACTGCTTTATTTCTGTTTTTCTCGGTTCACAGAAGCGTTGCAGGTGCGTGATGTGTGGGAATCCTAACACAACAGTATTTCCAACTAAAAATTTAAAAAAGAGAAGTGTTTTGGCCACTCGTACGACAACAGTGCTTCCCTTTCAGTCGCTCACGTTCAACGTAACGTCGACATGACAACGTAATTGGGATCACTTCAGGGAGCCCTATCAACTTAGAGTATCTACAGAACGAGGCAATTGGCGTGCGTGAAACGCGTCACGCGCCCCGCCCCGCAGCGCGGTTATAAACAGGAAGCGGGCGCACGCACACATTGTCTTTCGCTTCGAAGCCGAGCTTTCGTTTTGACTCTGAGTTTCTACAGACTGCTGCTATATTGAAGACTGTGTTGAAGACAGGAAGAAGAACTCTGTTCCAGTGCTGGTGTGACGGCGCGGTCAGCGGTTACAGCTCACAACTGCTGTTTTCACAGCATTGCTTGTGTGTGTGTGTGTGTGTGTGTGTGTGTGTGTGTGTGTGTGTGTGTGTGTGTGTGTGTGTGTGTGTGTGTGTGTGTGTGTTTGTGTCGGTCTCGGTGGGCGAGTGTGTACCCCGATTACACCGCGGCTATCCCTGGGTGCTTCAGCACTGAAGAGTTTTTTATTTTCTGTTTTTTTTTGTTTTCATTAAAAGAGCAACACCAGGACCCTGCGTCCTTTTCAGGATGTCATTCCGCTTGTGCGTTTCTGGATGCGGTTGTTCCCTGGCGCCAGCAGACGGCCACGATAGTTACCTCTTGTGTTTGGGCATTCAGCACGCTGAGGCAGCCTTTGAATAACTCATGTTCCCATTGCGGGAATATGACTATGACTATCAAGACTTGCTTAACTCAAGGGAGGTGCAGTCCCCTCGCCTTTGCTCCAATCTAGCGTCTATTCTGAACCTCAGAATAGACCTATTTCAGTGCATGACCAGGGTGATCTGAGGATTGCCGTGAGGGCTTCCTCGCCGAGGCAATGTCCGTGGGTCCCTCATGCCTCACAAGCTCTGCCGCCGTTGGAGCCTCCAAAGGAACGCACTGGCCCTTCTCTCCACCTGACGACCAGATGTCAATCGCAGCATCGGTGGGGGAGCTTCAGTCCTCTGGAGACTGGAGATGACGATTCGCCTGCGTTGCCCCCTTCGGGGAGTGTAGCGTTGCCCGAGTCCGATCCAGAATGGGCGGCTATGCTTTCCCGGGCCGCCGAGAAGGTCAGGCTTGCGTGGAACCCTCCACCACGTCCCGAACCTTCCCGGTTGGACGATTGGTTTCTCGGGGCGGGCCTTGCTGGTTCTCAGCGCGCCGCCTCGGTACCATTCTTTCCGGAAGTGGGCTTTTCCTCACTAGGACGTGGACGGCACCGTATAGTGCCAGAAGCCGTCCTAGTGGCTCCTCCCTCCTCACCACCCTCGACGGCGGGGCAGCTAAGGGGTATGTGGATATCCAGCCAGTGGAGCGTGGTTGCGATGCAGCTGTGTCCAGCGTCCGTTTCCTCTTGGCAGGGTAATCCACGCCTCCTGTCCAAGGACTTTAAGTTTTTGTCCGGTCTCTCGGCGAAGGCTTATAAGGCCTGTGGACATGCTGCTTCCGCCCTCCATGCCATGTCCACCAGGCCCAGGCGCTCATGGACATGAACGAGGGTGGTTCTGACCCAGAGCTCCACCCGTGTTCTGGCGGACAGTGTCCCTGTGCTCAGGGCGGAGATCGCTGTCCTACTGGCGAAGGACGCGATCAAGCCGGTCCCTCCAGCTGATATGAAGACCGGCTTCTACAGCCCGTACTTCATTGTACCCAAGAAAAGTGGTGAGTTACGAACAATCTTGGACCTGCGTGTCCTGAACCGGTCCCTTCAAAGGCTGTCGTTCAAGATGCTTACGCAGAAATAACTGGCAAGGGATATCGGACGACCATCAAAACCTCGAACAGTCGAACTTCATTCACCACGTCTAAAAGTAAGCTATGGCTTGTTTAACCTGTTTGTTATAGTTAATTTGACTATCTTTAAATCTAGAGAGAATAATATTGGTCAAAACAGCATGCCTCTTTATACACAATTATGTTTTCAAATGTAGCTTAATGTTGTCAATATTCAAATGATAATTAATGATGATATGTTTTGTATAACATTTGCCACATTTCTTTTTAAATCATGCTTTAAAGCCAAAAATGTTGTTCTTTCCAATGACGAAAAACAATTTAGAAAAATGTTAGTTTTGTCGTTTATGTTTCTCTTAATGTTATCAGGGGGTTGGTGGCAAAAAATGCCAGCAGAATTAATATGCACCCAAAATTCAAAATGTGGTGGAAAAATGGCCCTAGTATGAGTTATTTTCATAATTATAACATATATAAAAAAATATTTCCAGATTATTGGCGCGATTGCAAATGTGATGATTTTATAAAACAGTTCAGTAGAGTGAATATTGTGATGTGACATTTTAGACATAATATTCCAAATATTCCCTGTTTTTGCTCTATTTCTCCAATGACAATAGTTCCAAACAAGCCACAGAAAGAGTTATGCGTATTTGTGATTCAGTGACCTAGTTGCTTAGTTCCAGAAAGAATCTGTCATTTTGAACAAATCAGTTGACTGCTTCTATGACTCGTACATTAAGACGGTGATTTGGCGCCACTTATTGGCGGTTTTAACTTCATAATAGGCTAAATGCCAACGGCTGTTATATAACTTATATAAAGGGGATGCCAGTTTGAAGAATGCCATTTGGTGGCATAGGAACCATTATACTTGAATTGTGAATTGTTTAATACCTTTTAATGGTCTTCTGCAATGTTTGAGGCATATTTATTTTTGCATGCTTTAATGTTGGCCTAATTTCAGTTACATTTACATTTTAGGCTATGTAGTTTGAAATTGTATTTATTTTTTTATTTTTTAGATTTTTATTGTAGTAACCACTCAGCTGTATGTGGAAATGCATATTTAAAAAAAATATGTTGCAAATAAAACCATAGTCCACAACTTATGTAGTTTTAACTTATTTTAATACATAAATTCAGTGAAATCATCAAACGTTTGTATGACTTGCCAGTGACTTGTGACCCAAGCTACGACTTGACTTGACTTGCTTGACATAAGGCAGTGACTTGACTTGACTTGCTTGCTTTTATAAAAAATTGACTTGGACTTGCTTGAGACTCGAAGGTTAAGACTTGAGACTTGCTTGTGACTTGCACATGTGTGACTTACTCCCACCTCTGGTGATCCCTTGGAGTATAATGGTGAAAAAGCTGTGGAAAGGTGGTGGAGAGCTTGCCTGAGGAGACCAGGCGTTCGTCCATATGGGTCAAGACTGAACTCCAACCCTGACCCTGAGTCAGATTCTCTTTCAAGTGATGAGTCTGATTGAAATAATCCACTACATTCCCTCACTCTCTCTCTCTCTCTCTCCCTCACACACTGCCCCTCTCTCTCTCTCTCTCTCTCTCTCTCTCTCTCTCTCTCTCTCTCTCTCCCTCACACACTGCCCCCCTCTCTCTCTCTCTCTCTCTCCCTCACACACTGCCTCTCTCTCTCTCTCTCTCTCTCTCTCTCTCTCTCTCTCTCTCTCTCTCTCTCCCTCACACACTGCCCCTCTCTCTCTCTCTCTCTCTCTCTCTCTCTCTCTCTCTCTCTCTCTCTCTCTCTCTCTCTCCCTCACACACTGCCCCTCTCTCTCTCTCTCTCTCTCTCTCCCTCACACACTGCCCCTCTCTCTCTCTCTCTCTCTCTCTCTCTCTCTCTCTCTCTCTCTCTCTCTCTCTCTCTCCCTCACACACTGCCCCTCTCTCTCTCTCTCTCTCTCTCTCTCTCTCTCTCTCTCTCTCTCTCTCTCTCTCTCTCTATTTAACTATCTATCTATCTCTCTCTATCTCCATCAATCTCTCTCTCACTCACACACAT